CCAGGTCAAGCACGCTTAACTGTGAAGTTCTGATGAGTAAGCTACCGAAATGTATATGTATGTTGTCGGTATAACTTGTACAAATTAATTCATTTAAGTCATCCTCAAATATACAATCTCATATTTGTACTGTAATAATAATATAAAATAATTTTATATTACAAATAATAATAATATATTTAATTATTATTTATTTATATGTACTTACTTTTATAATAATAACATCTACTTATTTTTATTTAAAATTATAATTTAAATTATTTTATTTTATAATTTATAATGATAATATAATTTAAAAAATTATAAATATTTATTTAATACATACTTATAAATTAAATTTTAATATTTTAAATAAATTATTAATTAATTTAATATATTTAGTTACCTTAAATCAAACATATAAAATTCAAAAAATGTATTTATCCTTGTTGTTTTTTTTCTTCTAATTATCAACTATTAATAAAATACTAACTTAAAATCTTATCTAATTATATATAATATTCTCATATCAAATTTAAAATCAGATATTAGTTATACAAAAATATTAAGATCATATAGTAAATTGTCAATAAGATTTTAGTTAAATAATTTAAAATAATTAATGTTTCAATTATATTGTTAATTAAAAAATAATTTATTCTAATACTAATTAATTTTTTATATTAATTATTAGTAAAATTTAATAACTTTTAATTTAACAATTAATTGGATCGATAAAATTCAACACAGGCCATGAGTTATTGAGTGGAATAACTTTACCAAGAGTTATTTTGTAAGTTATCTTTAATCAAACACACATACACACATAGAGTAGGGTATTTTATGCGCAATATATAGTGAAAGACCCATTCTAGTATTTTACTATTTCCATCAATCCTTAGGTTAGAAATACTCGTATTTTGTAGTTATTGATCCACACACACACACACACAAACACAAATACACACAAGCAAAGGGTGGTGGGCTCGCACACGTAAGAATGGGCCTTGTGAGATCGTTGTAGTTCAAATCTGTCAATTTTCCCCCCTACGTGTGCGAAAATGGGATCCGAAAATATTTTTATTTTGATTACATTAAATTATTTTGCGAAAATGACTGTTTCCCTTAATTATCGGATGGTTTACATAGTTTTAGGGTTTCTAAGACTATAAATAGAGGCCTCCACCATGCTGTTTTTATCATCCAAAAAACCTATTGTATCTTGGGGGACTTGCGCGTATCTCGCGGATAAGTCTTTTAAGGTCAATGCCACTACACGCCTCAGGAAGATTTATCTAATGTATTTGTTCAGTGTTTCATGGCAATTACATGACATAAATATCACATGATATTGTCGATGGTGACACTATAAAAGCATCATGTGGTATCACATGAAGGTGACATGTCATTCTTATTTAGGTGTCATGTGTATCTATGCTACATAATTGATGTGTTATGCTAACATGTATTTTTGTTGAACAAGTCAACACTTAATAATTCTAATTCATTGATAAGGATAAAAATGTTGATAAAAAATAAAAGTTCAATTGTAATTTTGGTTTTTTTATTTTTGTCAATATGTAATTTTTGTTCTTCTATTTTAAAATAGGAACATTTAATCCTCCTATTTTCTAAAATATGAAATTTTGGTCATCTCATCAATTTAATGCTCATTGATTGTTAACTTTAACATTTATCAATAATTTTTTATTACTTAAATAACATGATATTTAATGAAGTGACACTTAAAAATAAAAATTAAAAAATAATATAAAAATATCTTTGTGTATATATTTAAATGAGTGATTCATATATTTTTTTTAATAAATCTTATTTGCACAAATTTTTTTGTTTTTTTTATTTTAATTTTCAAATGTCATGTTACTAAATGTTACATTACTTAAATATGTGTAAGTGTAAACATTAAAACCTAATTAATAAATGTCTAATTTGATGGAAAAACTAAAATTTTGAATTTTTAAAATTTAAGAGACTAAATGTTTCTATTTTAAAAATAGATGGATTAAAATTGTGAATTGACAAAAATAGAAGAAACAAAGTGTAATTTAACAAAAAAAAAAAAAAACAAGTGATTAAAAATGAGCAATTTTTTTGAGAGATAAACATTTTGAATTTTGAAATAGTTAAAGGAAATAAACTTATTTAACAATTATTATTTGTGGGAATCGAACTCTGTAGCAAGAGAATTTGCAATAATTCATGCACCTTACTCATCAGAATTACACTTCCTTACTAGTTGATTTCTCATATATCACATGTTTGGTTGAGAAACACTAAGATACATAAATAGGAAAAAATTTCGATCCCTATGTTCAAGTTGTGTGGAAATTTTGAAGAGAGCTAGGGTCTTTTCAACATTTTAATTATTTGGATATGAAAGTTTTGCATCAAACTGAAGGTAAGTTTAGGATTATATTATTGATATCCATTTGTGCGTAAAAAGAAAAGAATACAAAGAAAATTTAAAAGCATAAGTATATGAAAGAGGAGAAGATAATCTGTACCAATAAAATATCCATTTTTTTTAATATTTTCTTTGTCTTGAAGTATACACATGGAAAGAAACATTTAATTGGGATCCATAAAAAAGTGTTTTGTTTTTCTTAAATAGGAGAAAAATGTTAGAAAAAAAAAAAAGAAGACAGAAAAAATACCTTCAACATCTAATGTTTAATTTGAAATATTTATATCATTTTATCTCATATGAGTTATTCGACTTAGATAATTGGTCAATCACTAATCGAGGTGTTTAACTATGATTTTATGTAATATGTGAATACATTGATAAAAGATATGTGATTCTAATTATTTATTAAATTATGGCAATATAGGTGAAAAAAAAGGGATAATATATATGTTTCATGATATAATGGAGAGAACAGAAAATACAAGAGGTGAATCATTATGTTAAGATAAAAAAAAGGAGCTTATTATTAAGAGAAAAAATAATAAAACAATATACCTCAAGTTGTTCGTAAATTACTTATCAAGCGACCTAGAAAATATCAATATCTCACTATTTTGTTTCATTTTTTTTTTCACTTTCTAAATATACCTAAAGTTGTTCATATATTTCTATATAATTAATAAGTTAGTACTCCGTCTAAACTCAAATATAAGTATAAAAAAAAATGAATAGTAAAGTAAAATGTAAACAAATTTTAATTAATTTTACTTTTTTTTTAAATATAATATCATCTTTAAAATATCTTTCATTATATTAAAATTCTAATTCTAACGACATTTTTTACAGCTTGATATTAAATCCATTCAATTTGGAGTACTAGAATATTTTCATTAATGATTAATAAAATTAAAAAATATTAATTATTTTTTAATTAGCACATACATTAATTTAAATAAAAAAAACATCTTAAACTGTATATAAATATAAAATTTTGACCGCCCAAAGACCAAAATATTATGTTTTGGAGGAAATGCGCGTGAAAGTTGATCTGCCGCGTAAAGTGTTGCACTTGCAGACGTGCAGCTTGCATCAACATTCAACACAATCTTAAATCAAATCTTAAATCAAATCTTAAATCAAATCTTAAATCAAATCTTAAATCCATCTAAATAGTTCTTCTTTGAATGTTAGATGTGGTTGGGACTGTTCTTTAAATTTTATTTCGATATTATATATTTTTAAATTTTATTAATATACATTTATATATATATATATATAATTATTTTATACTTTACTCTTTATAATATTAAAAATATAATGTAATTATTTAGTAATTAAATAATTGAAATAATAATAATAATAAAACTATGCATTTAATTAAAAATATAATTTAATTCTTAAATTGTTTTAAGTCCTATATTACTTATTAACTTTTAAATATTGTTTGAATTAAATTATAATTAATTTTTAATATATATGATTTATTTAAAAATATGTAATTAAATACATTTATTTATATATTTTATTATAAATTTTAATTTTTATTATATAATAAATAAATATAAACATTGTACAAATTCAAATATTAAATTTTATATCTTTAAAAAATTCTAATTTTTATGTAAAAATAATTCTTATATCGTATATCTACGTTAACACACTCTATTATGGTAAAATCTATGAGAACTTATTTAAGAACCCGATTTAAAAAAAATTACCTAAATTCAGTCTATATTCTATAGTAAAATCAAATCAAAGTATACTTGCCGTTTATGTACCAAAAACAATATATTTGCAATTTACATAAAAGAAACCGACACAACACAGTCATTAAGAATGTGTTTGGAACCTAGTTGATTTCAACTCTATTAAGATTGAAAAAAAAGTTATATGTATAAATTTTTGTTTTTTTGCATTGGAACATGTTTTTTTTATTCAACGTGATTTTAAATTGATAACTAAACATATTTTAAGTTTGTTTAGATAAAAGTTAAATTCAAAATAATAATTTTATTGCCTTTTGATTTCATATATCACAAAGTAGAAACTCACATTTTAATGTTTTAAAATCGATAATCAATCACATTCAAACTCAACTTCGTATCTAAAAAATATCTCACTTTAAGCCGCTTTTCAGTTCCAAAAAATTCGGCAATTTTAATTGAAGCACACTAAATCACGTTATTTCTTAATCGCATTATACATCTTATCATAATTATAAGTCATAATTACTTATTTATCATGATTTATACTAAAAAATACACAAAAATTAAACTCTAATTTAATTGAGAAAAAAAAATCTGCCATGACCTTCAACACTTCTTAATCTTAATCCTTTGGTTATTCCTTCAACCAAAAAGGCTTCCGTCATTCTCTAATAACCAATTACAGAAACTTCTCTTTTCATGTAGTCTTTAATTTGATTATGATTATGATTATGATGATGAGTGATGAGTGATGAGGATGATATTGATACCTTTCTCCTTCAAACTCTAATTCCTTCTTCTTTACTCATCAATTGTTCTCTCTGTCACTTCGTTTCATAAGTGGTAGCCGTTGTGGCTATCTATAACAGCGGTTAAGGTCGCCCCCACAATAATAATAATAATAATTTAAAAAGCGTTACGGAAATTGTTTCTATCATTTTCCCACTACCACACTTTCCCTTTCACAACTTCCATACTTCTAATCTTCTCACTCCATAAACCCTTCTCCTCTCTCTTCCTCACAAGAAGATAAAGAAAAAACAAACTTGGTCTTGTTCATTTGGTTTGTGGACATCACATTCTCTGACCCTGTGATAGAAACAAACCAATAAGAGACCAAGGAAAAACAAAAAGTTTTTTATTTTATTTTTGGTTTTGTTTACATGTGTTGTTAGATCAAGCTTTTGTTAACTGTGATCCTTTATATTGTTCCTCTCGTCATTGTTTGTTTTTATTTATGCCCTTTTGATCCTTCACCGTCTCATTCATCGTGGCTTCGTGGGGGGGTGAAAAAGTTGCTAAATTTTCGCTGATTCTTCTAACCCCACTTTCAAAAACGGTTGCTTTCTCTTTCTCCCTCTATCTATAGAAAGAAGAGAGGGTTTCTGTTTATGTTTTGTTAGCCATTTATACATATTGCATATCCTTTTTCTTCTTCCTTCTGGTGTGGTTTGTGTTATTGCTGTGTCTTGCAATGGAAAAAAAGTGGGTTTTGAGATTGGTGTTGGTGTTGGTGGTGGGTGTGATGTGTTGTCATGTGGAAGGGCTTGGTGTGAATTGGGGGACTCAAGCAACCCACAAGTTGCCACCAGACACTGTGGTTCAAATGTTGAAGGATAATGGGATTCAGAAAGTGAAGCTTTTTGATGCAGATGACTCCACCATGAGTGCTTTGGCCGGGACTGGGATTGAAGTCATGGTTGCTATCCCTAATAACCAGCTTGCTGAGATGAATGACTATGACAGAGCCAAACAGTGGGTTAAGAAGAATGTCACACGTTACAGCTTCAATGGAGGAGTTAATGTCAAGTGAGTTTTTTTTTTTTGCAACCTATTTTGTTTTCAAATTCAGTTGATTTGTTTACTTGTTATTATTCTAAATCTATCATTGGCCTTTCTTTCTTTCTTTCTTTCTTTCTTTCTTTTTGTTTTGTATGAAGTTTAGAGATTATTTGGTATAAGATCAGACGATCCTTAGTTACTTGTTGGTTTAATTTAGCGTTTTGTCCAAGTGCGTTTGATGCCTAGTCCTTTATTCTCTATATTGGATTTTGTTGGATAATTTATTCTTGGCCTGTTGCTTTCAATTCCTGCATTGATTTTTTACTTCATGGTGATCAACTTGTTGCTTGTGTTTATCCTTATGGAAAATCTGGAGTCCCATTATTCAATTATCATTCACACGAGCGAGCAATATAATAATGATATAAAGAGCAAATTAATCACACTACACCCGTGTCTTGATATTGTACATCACCCTCTGCATTTTTAAGGTCTACAGCAATCCCTTTGTAGGGTTATATGGTAATGTGCTTGTTGGATAATAGAGAGCGTGTCAGTGTAACGTAATGTTTTTCAAACAGGGAGGTTGATGCAGGGATAAGAAGGGGAAGGGCATAAGTGGAAATTTTAAGTAACCTTTTGGGCTAATAGAGTAATTTACTCTCATAATAATGTTTTTTGGTTGATGAGTTTAGGAACCAAACATGGAAAAGTGTGAAGGGAATCTTACAAAAGTGAACCCTAAAGTTGTCCTTTTTTATCAGAGAAGTTATCTATGTATTGGGCGATCCCCCAGAATTAGATTCTTTTTTTGGTAGTGGTGCTTGATAAGTCCTTTGTATGTGGCTGAGGAGAAGGATATTTGCTCAAAGAATCATTTTTCCATTCTAGGAGGTGATTGTTAAGTATATTTGGGAGAAGAGATATATTCACGTGTCCAAATTCTCACATAGGATGACTTGTGCACATTTTCTTACCATCCATTCTAATTCCTATTGATCTTTGCAACTTTGCAAGTAATCCAAGACTGGTCAATTTTGTATGTGCATCTATTATTTTTTGGGGAAGGGAATATTCCTTTGTGTGTGTTTTATTAATTAAATGATTCCATGTTTGGACAAGGCCACTAATAGAACAATGAGAACTCTTGCTGATGCTGTGGCTTACAGTTCTGCAGTTTTTCCTTTTCCACTGGTTAATGAGAAGTTTAAATAATTTTAAAGGAGCTAAAAGTTTACAGTTTAAATAACTTATTTCATAGTTTCATGGGACTTGTCGATCATATACATGCAAAAGGCTGGTTATTATTATTATTATTATGTTTAAAGATCTTATGCTTTATTGGATGGAAAACCAATGTCATTTGTATAACAACTTCTCTTGGAATGTTAATTTTTGTCATTGTTAGGCAAACTTGCAAAATTTTCATGGGAATAATTTGGAGCTATGTTAGGTTTAGGATCTCAGCTATATAACATAAGTAGCAACATTGGTAGAGTCTGATTTAGTCATGGATTGGTGAAGCTCACAAATATTGGTCTTGCAAGCAAATTCTTCATTAATGTATCAGTATCACTGCCCCTGGCAAACTATCTTTGTCGATTTTCCTTTTGTCCAAACTCAATGTATATTTGTGCAATTCCATGATTCTATCTATATTCTTATGCAGGTATGTAGCAGTTGGGAACGAGCCATTTTTGAAATCCTACAACAATTCATTCTTGAATATCACCTTCCCTGCACTGCAGAACATTCAAAATGCCCTTAACGAAGCAGGTCTTGGAGACACCGTTAAGGCCACAGTGCCCTTAAATGCAGATGTGTATCAGTCACCAGAGAGCAACCCTGTTCCATCTGCAGGAATATTTAGGCCTGATATCACTGGTCTCATGACCCAAATAGTCCAATTTCTCAGCAAGAATGGTGCACCATTCACCGTGAACATCTACCCCTTCTTGAGTCTTTATGGCAATGACAATTTTCCCTTCAACTACGCCTTCTTTGACGGTGTAGACAACCCCATAAACGACAACGGAACACCATACACGAACGTGTTCGACGCGAATTTCGACACCTTGGTTGCTGCTCTCAAATCAGTAGGATATGGTGACCTGCCAATTCTGGTGGGAGAAGTAGGATGGCCTACAGAAGGGGACAAGAATGCCAATGTTGGCAATGCTTTGAGATTCTACAATGGCCTTCTGCCAAGGCTTGCAGCAGACAAAGGCACGCCGCGCCGACCGGGACACATCGAAGTTTATCTCTTCGGACTAGTCGATGAGGATGCCAAGAGCATTGCTCCGGGAAACTTCGAACGCCACTGGGGGATTTTCCGGTATGATGGACAACCAAAGTTTCCAATGGACCTCTCTGGCCAGAACCAAAACAAGTTTCTGATAGGTGCACAGAATGTGAAGTATCTTGCTCCAAGGTGGTGCATGTTTAACCCTGATGCAAAGGATCTTAGCAAGCTTGCTGATAACATTAACTATGCTTGCACCTTTGGAGATTGCACTGCACTTGGATATGGCTCTTCTTGCAACAATTTGGATGCTAATGGTAATGCCTCTTATGCGTTTAACATGTACTTTCAGGTGCAGAATCAGAACACCATGGCATGCAATTTTCAGGGCTTGGCTAAGCTTACTACGAACAATATCTCAACTCCTACGTGCAATTTTATCATTCAGATAGTTCCTTCTTCTGCCTCTTATTTGGTGCCTTCGCTTGTTGGTGTCTTGTTTGTTTCTTTATTCATGATTTTGTTTTCGTAGGATTTGTTTGTACATACGTTAGAGATGCTATTTTTTTTTTTTTTTTTTTAAATTTATGGTTTCATTATTTATTGGATAGTCTGGATGATATTGATCGGTTTACAGATTCATTCAATAAAGAATTTCACACATTGAGCTTAGATGGTACTAGTCTGGATATTATATAAGCCTTGTCATCTTGGATTGACAGATGGTGTAGAGTTCGGTTTGAACTTTTCTTTTTCATTATGAGAGTTTAATATCCTTACGATCATTAAAATTTTACTTTCTTGGTGTATGTAGATCTTTTATTATGGGAGTTTAACATCTTTTAAGATCATTAAAATTCTACTTTGATGATAATATTTATTTAAGAAGATTTTTAAGTGTATGCAGTTCTGTAGTTTGACAAATAAAATTTTAAATTAACCATTAAACATTATTGAGTTTTGACTAATATCTAAATAAATAGTCTTGTTTAGTTTAAAAATTTTCAATATATTTTTGACTTCTAATTTTGTAGTAACGAGGTGTCATTCTTCATCTATTATTTTATTAATAAAAAAATATGTTAAGTCTTGTTAAAAAGAGGTAGTTGCTTTTAATATTAATATTTTTATTTAAAGAAGAATGTTAATAACATAATTTTTAACATATTTCTTCTAACAAATTCTCTTAATTTGTTAAAATCTATTAAAAATCACAAAATTTGGTAGATGAATATGACTTTGAATGATGCTTTCTTAACATTTATGGAGATTTTTTCGCATTGGTTAAAATAAAGAAAACTAGAATGTATCGAAACAAACAAAAGCCATTTAATTGAATATCTCTTAATTGTAGAAAAACACTTCACCTTTCACACATCTATAAATTATAATGAGAGAGAGACTAACGAAAAGCAGTGTCATCGATTAGGTGAATGCCGACAATGAAATGAAACTCAACGGGAAGAAAAGGAAGAGGATGCCACGATGGAAAACATTAAATTAATGGGTATCAAAAGATGTTTTGAAAATTGTAAGGTTAAAATATTTTGGCTCTCAAAACATTTCAAAATTCACTTTTAATTTATATGAAAGTTTAATGTTTTTAATTCATGTATTTATTAAAACTGGTGTGATTTTAATATTTTATTAAGGACTAAAAACTTGTGTTATTTTTAAAACAGAGATTAAAAGTATATTAAATCTTTATATCGACTAAAATCAGATTTTGAAAAACTGAAAAAAAAAATAATATAAAGTATGTATAGTCATATATAAGTTTTAATTAATAAAGAGATATTTTATTTTTTTAAAATTCCAAGCGTTTAGCGATAGCGATAGGGGTTGATCCACGCTTAAGCAAAGTCAGAGTTCGAATCCTGCCTTGTGTATGCAGTCGCGTTAAATTTTGGGGCCAGCTATCCCACCCTTTGAGGTGCGTCCAACATAGCGAGGAGATTAATCACTGCTATCTCTGGATACTCCAGGGATAACAAAAAAAAAATATTTTTTTAAAAGAAATTAAAAGTTCAAGTTATTCTCGACTGGATGTATTTAAATTTAAAAATTAGGTGCAACAATTTCGAAGAACCAAGATAACTTCTCAACTTTAATTAAATTAAAAAATTAATATAAAAAAGTAGGAAGTTGTCTTTTTCATACAAATGATGTAAATTTCATAAGGACAATATTAAAAAAAAACGAATATTTGAATCCTATTCTTATGCCTTTTAAAGATAACGAGACATTAATTAAATTCCATTCTAGAAATATTTTAAACATTAATATAGTTCTCTAAATCCAAAATGAGTATAATAACTGAGACCAATTAAATTAACATTTAAAATATTAAAATACTAAATCAATACCCAATTTAAATCTGGATAAATTAAATTGATGTGCATGATAATGATAATTGATGAGCTTGATCTCTAGATCACCTTTTAAGCAGTTATATTTGAATTGGGCCAATTCCAATCACACATTCACACTAAGTACTTTTCAGAATCAAAGTTACCTGTTCCTCTCTCTGCCCTTCATGTGATCCCTTATATATTATGGTGGGACCATATTGATTTTGAGGAGGCAGACAAAGAAATTGAAACTCATTTGCAGAGGTTACTTTCTAGTCTCAATTATGCATGTATCCCCAACACCTACCATGCTCATCCGGGGTATTTGGCTGATGTGATATTTGTCCCAAAAGAGATCATAGCACAGTAAGCACACCTCATTTTGGGTACATTAGGTGAAAAGAAAAGTGCCATAAGAAAAAAAAAAAAGACTGATATAAAAACTGATTTTACAAAGAAAATAGAAATAAGAAAAAATAAGATGAAAAATGAAATAAAATAACAAGTGAGTGCAAGAATATAAATTATAAATTGAGTTTAATGGTTAATGATCTAATGTAAAGAAATTTTATTCAATTCCTTGAAGAAATTAATCACTCTTCTGTCAATAAATACTTAATACTATATATAGTTACCTAAAATACTACCTACCAATTATAATATATTGTTGGTATGATTTTTTAATTTTTATTATAAAAATCAATAAACTTATTACATATGATAATTTGTGATGATGATATAATAATTTATTATTTATTTGGGTGAAGGAAAAAGACTGATACATTGATACACGTAGCACCACCTCAGCCAACAAGAGATTTACACCTACCTAGCTGTTACTATTCCTGATAAAGTGATAGATGCATTTTCAGTGTATACATTTTCCTGGGGCTTCTTTTGACTTTTGCTACTAATAATTAGACACCATTTAAACATCTTTTCAATAATTCACATTCTTTTACAACTCTAAGATAGGGTCATTCTGCTTGTGATATGCTTATATTCCATGTGCACTGTGATGCGAGTTAAAGTTGTTAACTTTTGTACCTAAGTATCAGACACTCACAGGCCTCATAATCAGCGATTCCATCTTTGACCAACCTCACATTTCAAATTTAAATTTTGGGTTAGTGGGAATTTGATGGATTATTGCTTTAACGTTAGTAATAGTATCATCAATCGTTTCAAGGTGGGTAGATATCTTTTGAAATTTTAATATTATGGCTCGAATCTCCAACAAATTGATGACTTTATAGGATTGCTGTATGCAAGTACTCTACAGAGTCAGGTGCATGGTGCATGGTGCATGGTGCATGGTGCGTGATGTGTCAAAACAATGTCGGCTTGGATTTGGAAGAAGGAATCATAAGAATCTTTGGATTTTTTTTTTGATAAAAACAACAATTTGAATTAACATCTTATAAAAATATGTATGAGTTATTCCTTTTTAAACTTTTCATAACGAATGGTCAGAACCAAAACAAAAAAAAGTAACAAACAAATAAGCATAACAGACGTACGAAAGTTGTAATTAGATATCTTGAAATGGCAAATAAAGGAAACAAAGAACAATGCTATACTGGCTGCACATGCCATATCGATAATAATATGATTAAAACGAGCTTAATTTCAATGATCCAAGGCTTATTAGATTTATTTCTGACGGAGATAATGAGAATGAAGTTGGTTCATGATGTTTGTAAAGAGTTTTATTTTTACTAGTACAAAAGAGGTAATTTACGTCGATTATTTTAAAAAAAAATTTTATGTCATAAAAACGTCTGCATGGAGAACGGATCGTTCTGTATGGAGAACGGGCCATTCTGCTTGGAGAACGGGTTGTTCTGATGATAGAACAACCCAGAAGAAAAGGCCAACAACCCAAACAAATAGAATAACAAAAAAATCGAATAGAACAGATAGTTACAATAGCAATGCGTAGCAAATAGGTGTTAGTGAAACTTGATTCATACCTGATAAGTAACGAAGAGTTCACCCCACTCTGCAGAAGACAAAAAAAAAATGATTCAGTAACAAAAGAGAGGGAGGGGGTTTACAAAGAAGAATCTAGAAAAATGATGATGAGATCCGAGTGAGTGAATGCCTGTGAGTGTGCCTCGCACTCTCTTATTCGCTTTCGCGTCTTTTTTTACGTCGGACCCTACTAGGTTCAATGCAAAAAAGTTCACAAAAAATTACAAAAATACCACCGCATCTTTTTTACGTCGAATTTTAGTGTCTCCAATATTAAAGAGATGACGTAATATACTAATTTTTCACTAGTGTCTCAAGTTACTGGATGAACTAATAGAGTAATATTATATGGAAAAGTGTATCTACTTTATAGATCTTTATATATTATATTTATATGTTTGGTGGTACCTGGGTGAGCCACAATTAGGATACTATAAAAATAAATCTTAAAATATGTGATTTCTATTAATTGTAGAATATTTTAAATCGATCTATAATTTAAGAGGTGAAGGTGAGAAAGAGTTTAGGGACTTTGTTTGTTTTTATTTAATCAACAACAATAACAATAAAGTTAAAATCTAGAATTTTGTATATATACAACAATCTCACTTCTAGATTGATTCGATTAGTTGAGTCTTGAGTTTAAATATATAGAATATTAGTTGGCAACAATTTTGTCTATATATTTGGTCTAATCAATCTCAAATATGCATTTGGTCCAAACTATAATGGATTGAGTTGTTTCTATTTCCTTCGTTAGTATTTGGTAGATTGACCTAATAAACCTTATTTGGAATAGGAGGCCTATCAAATTATATTAGAGCAAAGAAAGTTAACATTCCAAAATTTTGTGGAAGATAAATGTTAACATACATTTTCGAACAAAAATTTTTAAATATATTTTTTAATTAGTTAAAATTTATTAAAAAAATACAAAATTTAGTAGGTCTCACACCTTATTGATTCTCTTTCTCCTACTTTTATAATTTTCAATAAATTCTACCAATAAAATTAGTGTGTTAAAAGAAATGTATTAGAAGGTGTATTACTAGCACTCAACTTTTGAGTAATAGTAAAGTAAAAGACTTCATGATTTTTATTTTTATGAAAAATTGACCGATATATTTAGTGTAAAGATGATTTAAAATAATTTTATAAATTGGAGCATGTGATATGAAAAAAAATAAAAATATTCAAGTGTTTGAATAATAACCATCTCATACATTTGAATCAAATGTAAAATGTCATATAGGACAATTCAATGACCTTGATAGATGCATTGTTAAAGTCACCTTTTTTTCAAAAAAAAAATATTTTGAAGAACCCATTCTTATACCAAAAATGACATAACAAGATGGACTAACAACAAAAATAACAAATTGTCAAGCTTAGTTTGGAAAGTACCATTTGCAAAGGCTATAAAGTAGGGAAGATAGCTACATGAACAAGAAAAGAAAATAATTTTTTCGAAGGGATATCAAAAGAATCATATTTCTTCCATTAAATGAATGACACATTATTAAAAACTTGTGAGCTTCATCTCCAATGGCTTTAAGGAAGACAGAAAGTAACACTAGTGAATGAAGAATTCAAGATATTGGACTACTATGTATTAATGCATTCGATTCAATTAAGCTTTTAATTTCTTTGTTATTTTATTTATTTATTAGATATCAGAACCTCTTTGTAAAAATTTATAGATAGCATTAATTATTTTTCTTTTATTTTTAGAAATTTTGGGATGTGAAGTCTAATGAAAGAACACCTACAATACAAAATATACATGGTGAGTATAAATGGTTTGAAGATAATAAAAATCTTAATTGATTAAGGATTAAATGTAATCTTAGATTTATAGGTGAACCAATATTAATCTTTGTATTCTTCTTCTCTATCCATTTTATTTTCTCTAATCTTTGTGGTAATGTTGACTTGAGATATTTGGTTTGAATTTTTTTTTTTTGAAAAGGTTTCTTTTTTAGTAATGGTTTATAAAATGCTAAACTTGTTGTTTAAGTAAGTGATACACATATTCAATTGCATTTTGAGATATCCTTATTTTTAAGAAATATATTTTACAAAGTTTTAAAAAGGAGGAAAAACTCAATCCAATTTTCTTCTTGTGTTTTTCTATTTCCCCTTTCCAAAAAACTCATCATCTTTGTATTCAATCTCACAATGTACAAATGCTTTAACTCATTGGAATTGTACAATAATGGTTTGACTCTAGAATAATGGTTTCACTTATATTACACTATGCACTTTCAATAACAACTTCTGTGTTGGTGACATAACCTTTCAAGTATAATTGATATTGTTGGTTAGGCATACCACCCATAATGGTGACAATTATCTACGTGTTTTGTGACCCTCGTTAAGGCTCTTAATGATAATCCATTTCTTTCTTTTGATGTATGTGTTATCGAGGCTTTTGCTTAAAAGAATATTTGATCCCTTTGCACGTCTTATAAAAATATTCCTGAATTTTTTTTTTGGCATTTAAGATTTTTCAAAATTTAAATGATTTCTTTAATTTCTTTGTCTCCCTTCTTTTTACTTTCTTTATTAGGTATTAGCTTAATTAGTGTTTTTCTTTCTTTGCTCAAGAGTTTTTTTCTCTTTGAAAGGTAAAAATTATTCCATTCCCCTTTTTTTCTTAATTGTGTTCACTGTCTTTTTCCCTTTATTTTTCTCATTTACTATGTCATTAGCAATCTACTGAATGCCATTATTTGTTTTCAACAATGACAAAATGAGGAAAATGAGAAGGAAGGAAGTGATAGCTCACTCTATTAAAGGATCTTTTGACCTTTCCTCCTTCATGGCCCTAACCCTAGAGGAGAAGAAAGGTTGTATTTGTTAGAAATTTTATAATTTTTAATTAATTAACGTGAGTTACATATTTATATCATAACATTTATATTAATTATTTACACTTAGATGGATTAATATAAGTGATTTATTTTAATGACCCACTAGACTGCTAACAAAAAAACTTATAAATTTAACTAATTAGTGAATGTCTCATTTAATCTAGGTTAAAACCTTTATTTGGTTCCTGATAACATTTTTTTGTTTCAATTTAGTCACTTTAATTTTTGGTCTCAATTTGGTTCCCAATAATTTAAATTATTGCAATTTGGGACTTCTGTCCAAATGATTTAAACGGAGTTAACTGTTGGCCACGTAGTATCCACGTGGATGCCACGTAGATGCGTACGTGAATGCCAAATTGCATGAATACACCTGGAACCAGAATGGCCCGTTCTGAAACCAGAACGGGCCGTTCTGAAACCAGAACGGGCCGTTCTGAAACCAGAACGGGCCGTTCTGAAACCAGAACGGGCCGTTCTACTTGCACATGGTATGTGTTAATTTTGCAACCAGAACGGGCCGTTTCAAATGCAAATTTCACACACCATCAGTGCATCAGAACGGGCCATTTTGAAACCAGAATGAGCCATTCTGGTTTTAGAACAGGTCGTTCTAGAAAGCAACTTCATGCATGCGTTGACCAAAATGCTGCAATGTGATTCAAAAATTGAAAATAAAAATTCAGAACATAACATACTAAAAAGTTCAAAGAAATTACTGAGAAAGGAAATCATCTGGGTAACGCTCAAGGGAAAACACCATTTTGTTTCATCCTTGACTGTATAGTGTCAATTTGGTAGTAAGTGATTCACTCCAGTTTGACTAACAATGAAATAAAATCTTCTACCATTGTCTTTAGTGATACACTACATTGTCCTTAATGATACACTGTATAACCCAGTTGTTTAGCAATTGAGGCTTTTTGGCCAATATAAATAAAAATAAAATAAAAATACACAAAATAAATATAAAAAAAACTTATTATCGAAATACGTAATTTTTGACACGGTGGAGGCCACGTGGATGAGAAAACGCAGGGGGCTGGGCGCTTTTCAGAAAACGCCTCCCCCCATGCGCCTTTTATTGAATGACGTGGCAAGTGGGTGACGTGGAGAAGAAAGAGCAAGAGGAGGCGTTTTGTAGATGGAGCCTCCCCCCATGCGCCTTCTATTGAATGAGCTGGCAGGTGGTGACATGGAGAAGAAAGAGCAGGGGGGAGGCGTTTTGTAGATGGAGCCTCCCCCCCAGGCGCCATCTGTTAACAAGCACCCTCCCCGTTCTAATTGCACTCATGAAGGATGTTAATTGAAAATTTTATAATTATTATGAGGGATTAAATTAGGCATTTAGGCATTTATAAAATTTATAAGTAATTTGTTGTTTGAGTTTAATATTTATTTTGTTTGTTTGCTTAATTATATCAGGATGTCTACACAGATGATTCATGCAGGACCTATGACGATTCGTTATTAAGGCTTCAACCATTCCATATATCTGAGCATATATGGAATGGAGCTGAAGATAAGGTTTTGAAGGTTAGGAGAGCAACACAATCAGAGTTGCGTGGTGTTGAGATTCCAGCTGCTATTCAGGATCTTCTACAGAGGGCTGGTTTTATGGGGATGGCGCAGATCAGTTACTTTCCTGTGGACAATCATTTAATTTCTCCCTTAGTTAAGCGATGGAGACCAGAGACCCACACGTTTCACATGCCCTTCGGCGAGTGTACTATCACGTTGGAGGATGTTGCAATGTTACTTGGGTTGAAGATCTCCGAGGCCCCCATTACTGGATACGCAACTATGGATTGGGGAGCTCTTGTGCAGCGCCTTCTTGGCATGACACCCCCTAAGTCAATGCTTGTTGGCGGTCGATTGAGGATGAGCTGGATTGACCGACACTTTTCTAATGTTTCTAAGCATATACATATCCAGGAACAGTTGGAACGCTATACTAGAGCGTTCATTTTACGCATAATCGGGGGATATCTATTAACTGATCACTCTAGCTTGTTTGTATCCCTCAAATACCTGAGTTTCCTAGAAGACCTGGATGTTTGTGGTCAAATGAGTTGGGGGTCATGCGTGCTGGCGAATATGCACAGGGAGTGGTGCGTGTGCACGAATTATGATCACAAGGAAATTGGTGGTTCAGGTATTCTACTGTAATTATGGGCATGGTATCGGTTTCCATTTCTTGCACCACCTCATCCACCTTTATCTACATTTCATGTTCCTCTAGGGGCAAGGTTAGTAACTATATTACTTGTGATCGATTTAAGAATAAATATATTTAGAATTAATTTGTATATTGAAGTATTAATGGTTTTTTTGTTTTTATAACAGGTGGAATTATGCCTTGCATAAACCTAGAGAGGAAACAAAAGATAAAATTGTGAAGTATAGAGAGTATTTTGACCGTTTAAAAAGAGAGGATGTAAGTCTTAATTTATAATATTTTATTTAAGATTTATATTAAAAAATTGTAATTATAAATGATAATTGCTAACTACTTATTTGTTATGTTGTTTTGCAGTTTGTATGGCAACCATACTTGGAGTTACTACCTACATTACCTCCTTACTGTTTTGAGGACTCACAAGTATGGAGGTCAACTGTCCCATTGATTAATTTTCACATCGTCGAGTATCATTACGCAGATCGTGTCATGCGATAATTTGGGATGGTCCAACACATTCATGCACCTCCTATTCATCCGGAGAAATTGCATGATCTTTCCTTGAGAGGCAAGGATAACACGGGCTGGTCACGCATGCACGTTCAATTTGTGCAGGAGTGGCAATCACAACTTCATCGTGTATGGACATAACCTGTGTGTGATACACCACACTTGAGCAATAGCTCAAAATACATGGTGTGGTATAGGAAACATACAAGGCGATGAATTTGTCCTTCTAGTGCAAAGGAAGGATATGTGGTGAGTACAAATCTAGGGATGTATTTAAATAATTACTTGTGACATATTTACAAATTTAGTGTTCTGATGATATTTGTTATGTTATTTGTAGACCGATGTTTTGGAACACATGTATCATGGCACCAGTGAAGAACATAGGGATTCCTTTGATTTTACCATGATGCATGAGAGGATCGGCCACTGCTTGCAGTTGCGAGACGAGGTGAGCAGGGTGAGTTTCCCTTTTACACCGGCTCCAGCTGCAGCATTAACACAACCAGACGCAGTTCAGGTGGAGCACATTGGGGCAGGTCGACGAGAAGGAAAGGGGCTAAGTCGTTGACGAAGGCGAGTTGATCACCACGGTTTACAGATGCTAGTTCCTCTGACTGAGCCACCGACTGGGACATATTATCCGACTACATTGACCCCGGATGTAGATGTCACACAATATGTGTATGGTAATGCACAAGACACATCTGTTGGGTTTGACACACCAGCAACGTTTGGTGCAACTAATTTCCCGGCATCAGCGTCGATGGGTTATGTCCCGAGTATGTCGGGTGGTAGTATGTTCCAGTTTACACCTAGTCCATATATTCCAGACATGATCTCTCCATCAGCACCTTTGATGGATTATCGAGATTATCGATTTGGACAACCCTCAATTCTGATAGGAGGATTTTTTGGTGGGGGTACCTCTTCCCAACATTCAGGTTTAGGGCATGATCTTAATACATCATTCGCAGTGGAAGCTGGAATCCCTGAGGGAGATGGTGATGAGGTAGTTCGGAGGAACCCAGATCGTGGTGCTCGCCATAGACAACGACAATGTATACTAAGTCCCCATGAGCAGTACATGCGGAGAAATGAATAGGTAATTTGAATAATAAGTTGTTAGTACTTAAACATAATTGATCGTTGTAAATTGTTTTGTTTACCTAAATGTTTAGTTTACTGATATTAAATTTTTTTACAGTTGATATGCCACTGGACCATGCTGGTTACACGTTCCAGAGATTACGACAATATGTTGAAGAACTAATTTTTTTTATTGTGTAATAGTTAATGTAAACATTGTTGTCATTATTTCATTGTATAACAGAACAGTTTAATTGAACCACAAATAACATATGATTTAACTTTGCATGAATTTTATTCTTTAAATAAATAGCAAAATACAAACTTTTCATACGTTATTCATAACATCTTCAGCCAACATAGGACAATTAGTTCTATTATGCCTTTCACGCCTACAATGTCCACATCGTTGTCTCCTTTGGGATTCAGTCCAATCCATTTCATTTCTAATGCGGGTTGATTTTGGGCGTCCCTTTGCACGTATCATTGTCTCATCTGGGAGTATACGAGGTCCATTATTAGGTTCAATATTTTCATCACTTCCAAGTGGGAACCATTGACTTGAATATGCCGCTTTGATGTATTCGTTAATATATGCGGCATCAACAAAAGTTAATGAATCTATACGAACGTGTGCACAAGCTGCTATTGCATGTGAACATGGATATCTATATGCCTGAAAAACACCACACTCACATTTTTTTTCAGTTAAAAAAACATTGAAAACCTTCCCACCTCGTTGTGTTACTGCATTGAAGATTTCATCAACTTCAAATCTTGTACACTCATAATCATACATGCGAACGAAATGAAAGCTTGCTTGTTCTTGGTTTGTTTCCATAGCATCCATTAACTTTTGACAGTAACGTTTATCCAGAGCATAGGGATGGCAATGGGGCCCCATGGGGGTGGGTAATAGTAAACCCGACCCCGCCCCGCTAAATGAAAATTGGCCCCATACCCACCCCATATCCGCGTGGGTATCTATTAAGCGGGTATCCATGAATTTCTTGAATATCCACGGATATCCATGGATATTTATAAAAATTTTAAGAAATTAAAAAAATTATATTACAAATAATTTTAAGTTTATATTTTAATGTCATTGAAATATTAAAAATAAAAATTCAATTTTAATTTTGAACTTTTATTTAACGTTAATTTTTTTGAAATAATAATAAAAATTCAAGATAATCAATAACTTAAAATACATAAATCTCACAAGTAAGTTAAAGTCTCATCACAAAGCTACAATAATTCAATCTCATAATTCTAAATGAAAGTAAATAACTTAAAATACATAAATCTTATTGGTCCAATCAAAGCTAGAAAATTAATTAAATTAAATCCAACATAATTCTATAACATGCTTAACACATATCGGTAACTTCATCAACCTCACTTTTGTAAGAAAATAAGATGAGAGAGTGTAGTTTTAGGGTTATGTGGTACAAGGATAATTAGGATATTTAAGAAATAATATTAAACGGGTACCCGCGAGTATGGATATCATCATACCCGCCCCCGCCCCATTTATAAACGGGTAAAAAATTATCCGTCCCCATTATCTGCGGGTATCCAATTAGCTTATCCATTTATTATCCGTAGCGGGTTTTATCCATAGATACCCGTGGGTGTGGGTTTTTTTGCCATCCCTACCAGAGCAAGGTCAGCGTTTGCCTGATCTAACCTTTGAAGAAAGTACTCCACCAACCTAGCATATGTGCATTTAACTAACGCAGTTATAGGCAAGTTTCGTGCACCCTTAAGGACTTTGTTGATTGCCTCAGACAAATTTGTTGTCATGTGTCCATATCGACGTCCTTCTTCGTCGTGTGCGATTGCCCATTTTTCAAGAGAAATGCCATCAATCCAACGACAAATTTCAGGGCTGACATCACGGAACCTTTCCAACCTTCTTTGAAATTTATGCTTGTTGGTTGTGTACCCTGCCATATATGAAGTTTATGTATCAATATTTATAAGATTAAACTCAACAGTACACCATATAAAAAACACTAACTCCTTTAGTACCTATGTGAATCAATTCTTCTTTAAGTTTAGTATTCTTGAATCGGTGGTTGAAGTTGCTAGCGATGTATCGAATGCAATATACATGATATGCTTGAGGTGGTTTCCACCCTTGGGCATTTGCCACTGCTGACTTGATGCTTTGGTGTTGATCACTTATTAAACAAATACCTTATTTTCTCGTAACATAGCGACGAGTGTTAGACAAAAACCATGACCAATCGCTTAGTGTTTCTCCTTCTACTATTGCAAATGCAAGTGGTAACACGCGAACATTTCCATCTTGTGTCGTAGCGATTAGTAGTGTGCCTCAGTACTTTCCATACAAAAATGTCCCATCTATTTGTATAATGGGTTTAGTGTAGTTGAAGGCATCACATGCTAGTTTAAATGTCCGAAAGACTCGACGAAATTGACAAAAATTTGGATCCACTATATTGTTTGACACGTACTCAGTGGTTTCAAGTTTATACACAGACCCAGGACAACATTCAACCATCCTGTCCAACCACCTTGGTATAAGATCATATGTGTCACTCCAGTCACCATAAACCCTCTCAATTGCCTTTTGTTTGGCTTTCCATGCCTTCCGATACGACACCTTATAGTTGAATTGTCCACTAATTCTTTCTAGAATTAGAGAAATTGAAACGAAAGCATCTTCCCTAACCATGCCTACAAATAAATGTTAACCATGTTAGAAAAAGTGATAAGATAAGTTTTAAGTGGAAAGTTAAATATGCACTTACCTAATATACAACAACATATGAACTCAGAGTCCAATTTGTTGTGATCTTGAGATAGCATCGGGTTGGTACATGTGTGTCTCCCGCCCCATTTCTTGATCCCCCATTTGTTGTTCAATTTACTAGACATAATTGCCCTTAGTTTCCAAGGACAACCTTCATTGCTGTTAGGGCATTTGACAGACAAAACTCTTTGGGCAGATTCCACAACAACAAAAGTTTGATGTGCATTCATAGAATAATGTTTAACATCCATCTGTACATCATTTTTTGTGTGAAAACGAAGCCCAATATACAGCTCGTCGCCAACTCTCCAAGAATTATGGACATCTAAACCACGGTACCAAGTCTCTTGATCAGGATGACTCCAGTCAATATAACTGTAATGTGGAGTTTTTGTCCAAAATGGATTATTTGAGAGTTCTACATGGAAAAAAAATGTTAAGTAAGTACCCATATTATTTATCAAAATAATAGAACTTGAAATTAACCTGTTTCAGTTGGCTGGGGAGGTTCAACTTCATATGGTGATTGCACCCTCACATTGTTGTTTGCATTGACATCTTCTTCATCCTCTGTATCAGATGAACTCAAATCGTTGGCTTCATCACCTT